TCTTTATCTGCAAATATAGTTTCCAGTTTATCATAAGCACCACTACTTTCTCTTTGTCATCTTGCACACACATTCATATGTCTTGCATATGTTCGTAAAAGTATTTTCCTTTCTTTTGCTGGTCCACAAAACCTACATCTTGATTGTTTTCTAAAGTACATGATCACCCTTAAAGCAGTAGTTTCTGTTTGCACAATTTTGTATTACTTTCATACTTCTATTTGATATTACAATGTACTTTTAAAATTATATGAAGTTTACATTTATCAAATGCATAACATACAAACAACAAACTCAAAGGTGTAAAGTTATAAAAAGCTTAGTTCTTCAACATGAAAAATACCAGGTATCAGGTTGATGTTCTCAATTACCAGTAATGTGATACTGTCAAATTAATTAGCATGTCTGATTTTATTATAATATTTCTTAGCTATAAAAGAGAATAAAAGAAAATATGAATAATATACAAAATATCATAAAACACATGAGTATAGTAATTCCTATTGGTAATTCTGAAGTTTTATGATGGAGTAATTCATAAAACTTGCTAATATTGTGAGTGTTAGGCTTGGGGTGACTTTCAATCATGGATCTGTCAGCAATTAGTAAGGTGATTTTGGTCAGATAACTGCATCTCTATTTCTTAGTTTTCGTCTTTGTAAAATAGGCATTATCTATAGTAGTTACTTATGGAATTGTAAGAACACTAGAATTAGAAAACTCCCATAAAGCTCCTACAGCTCTGATTCATATACAGTCCCATGAGGGACACTCTTTTTCAGGGTGAATGTTACTTCAAAGAATAAATATGTCACTTATAGACATTGGCTGGCTAAAAACAAATTTAACACTGAAGCAATACAATCTTGTTCAAAAGCAAGCATGTGACAGCTATCAAATAAAGAAGCAGAGGAGAATGGCAGACACACACAGACATGCAACACACATACCTAACAAATGAATTTGCTGAGTATCACTCTCCAAGCTATTTATCTGGAGAAATACATTTGAAAAGAAAATATAATCAAGCTTTTTGTACTGTCTTGCATCATTCAATTCATACTGAGTTTTAGTGAACAGAAATGTATTTGCAACTTTTAAATGCAAAATAAAGTGAGAATCTCACGATTTTTACTAGAAAAATGTGTCAAAATACTCAGTTTGAAAAGATAAGTAGAAAAAAGAATGTTAAGCAGTAGATACAGTGAATTTTAATTCATATTTACTTCTATTAAAACCATCTGTTGGGGGCTGGGGATTTAGCTCAGTGGCAAAAGCGCCTGCCTGGCAAGCGCAAGGTCGTGAGTTCGGTTCCCGGTACCGGAGAAAAACCAAAAAAAAAAAAAAACCATCTGTTGATATACACTATGGAATGTGAAATTAAATATGATTCATTAACAAAAAAAAGTTACAATAAAATGAAAAGATGTATGCATGCCTGGGTTTAGAAGGTAATAAACTCCTCCTGCCTTAGGCCATATCTAGCTGACTCTGCCCCATTGAATCAGCACAGGTGTGTTAATTTAGATCTTTACATGGTAAAATTTCCCACAGGGTGAGAGCATTCCAACATGAATAATACTGTGATTCAGTTTCCAGAAACAAAACCAAACAAAGCAATGCTATACAAGCCAGGTTTAAGGCTTTCGCTTAGATCCTCCAAAGAGTTAATGAAACCCAAAGAAATAAACAAGCATCTAATTTTATGTTTGAGGGCTTTTCAGTGTCAAAAGATTTTCTAGGCCCAAAAGGCCAACAAGACAATTTGGTTAATTTTTTCTGAATTAAAATAATTTAAGAAACACAATGTCACTAAAGAAATGTAAATAACTTTCCAACTGGATTTGTACATATTTTTTTCACTTTCTCAAAGAGCCAAATTACATGAAATGTTATTTACAACATTAGAATATAGTTCAAAGACTTCTTGTAAACATTAGAAAATGAAAAAAAACAAAGATTCTTTTCCTCTTAATTATATTTATTCCACACTAATGTATTTTTTATTTTAAAGAGAATAAAAAACCATAACAAAATAACAGTAACATAGACAAAAACAAAACCACACAAAATGATAAAAATGATACAGTGTTATGTTTTAACACATTGATGTATTTCTGATGCTTCATACTCCTCTAGAGATATGCTACAAATAATCTGAATGATTTTACTATATTTTGCAGATAATGTTAAATTTAAAATCAATGCATGACAATGTTATAGAAAATAACTTTGAAAATAATTTTCCTTCCTTATAAGATAATCACTTGTTTGGAAGTCATTTTTCATTAATTAACTTCCAAAATTTTAAACTGAATGTAATAATTTGAGGTAAAATACCAATAAATTAGGCCAGGGATATAGCTCAGTGGCACAGTGCCTGCCTGGCAAGTGCGAGGTCCTGAGTTTAATTGCCAGTACCAAAAAAAAATATTTTTTTTCCCTTGAAGAAAGTAAAAAATGTAGTTGTTTATACAGTGAAATAATAATATCTGAGTGACATAAAATAGAAGGCAGGAATTGAAAAGAAGCACTTAGAATTAGAAATGAACTTCTAATTGAAAATTCCCTTGGTTTATTTCTTCTGCCTCACAGTAGGGGTAATGGTATCTCACCAGACTGTGATTCTACATACATGTTATGGTTTATGTCTGTGTGTCCTCCCAAAGCCTCATGAGGCCATGGGGCAGGCTTTTAGAGTTGATTGAGGTGTGAGAGCTACACCCACCCTGGGGTGAATAGTTTGCATATGTAAGGGAAAGGAAAAGGGTGCTTGAGGCCATTCCTCCCCCATTCCGCCTGGTGTGTACTGGTTGCTTGGCTGTGTTCTGCTGCCATGAGCTGCAGCCCTCTGCCATGTGCCTCTCTGCCTTATAATATGTCAAGTATGGACTGAAACCTCCACAGACTGTAAGCGAAATAAACCTTTCCTTCCTTAATTTTGGGCATCAGGTACTTTGTCCCAGCAATGACAGAAAAGTAACTGAGACAACACACCAAAAAAATAGGTCAGCCCGTCACTGGGAAAAGCACTAAAATTACTAATGAGATTCCCCAGAAGTCAGGGAAGAAGGCCAAAACGTATGCACAGGAAGGACATGCTACACATGTTCTAGCGGAGGGTTTACATGGATTTGCATGGAGGTGAAAAGGAGCTTATATAGACTTGCTTGGTTAGAACTCATGCACAATTTTATAGAAAAAAGTTCTAACTATAAATGCAGGACTAGAGTAGTACTGTGATAGTGGATTTGTTTCACTTAGATTCCTTTCCTCATTCATTCTTTAGAACATAAGTTCTTTGATCAGCAGCAAATGTGGAAACAGAAAATGAAAAGAAAAAGTTCAAGAAAAGTGTAATGAGGACTACTGCAATATATAAAGATGGAAATCAGAAGCTTACGAATTCAGATTTAAACTCTCCACATGCCTTGTAATGGGTTACCTAAGTAGCTTCTATACTGACCAATACTGTTTCATCTTTTATACAGCTTTGAAAGGAAGCTCTGTTGTAATGATTTGCTGTGCTAGTTTTTTTTCGAAGTGCTCAGGGTTGAAAAATCTGTCTCTTCTTTCACCAAGTATGTATAGATTATGTAATAAATAGTATAAAAATGCCACAAAGATGGTCTTGAATTCTTTTCTCAAGGAGTAATAACATGCCAGCAGGAAGACATGTAATAATTTTAACATATCTGTAAAAATGAAGCCACTACTCTTCTATTTTGAATGGAAAAGTAAAGAAAGGGTCATGATTAATTTTATTGATCCATTGAAGCAAATTTTTTTATAATTCAATAAGATGAAATATACATTTGAATCCACATTCAAATCACAAATAGCCTTTTGATTTCTTTTAATAAATAATTATTTGTAATATGTAACGTATTCCATATGCAGAATACAAAATAAAGCCAGCAATTCTTAGAGAATTTTTAGGTTATTTGATTTTATAAAAGAAACAGCCCAAAATATTGTGGTGGAAAAGAGAACCACGTTACTATCCTCAAAAATACTATGGGTGCAAACAAAAGAAGCTGGCATGTGCTTGCTTCATAATGTGACTCAGTGGGAAGACTCAAAATGTATGGGTACTGAAGCACTCTGAAGGCTCTTCATTACAGGTTTGTACAGGGGCTCAATTTCTGTCTTTAGGAGGTGGGTGGAGTTGAGTGGGATTGCAGCATAGGGTTTCATTTTTACTTGTCCCAATGTTATAAATGTCTGCAGTGGAACATTTCTATGTCTTCTCATTTGATTAAAAATAAAAAGTAGAAATTATAACATTAATCTTCTGCTCCATTTCCCCCAGTGATGATGAATTTATTGCCTTGATAGATGAGTCAGCAGAGATGAAAATGCTATTTTTCAGCCTGTGTGTGGAAAACTTTTTTGAATGAAAGCGACAATAGGTACATCACTGATAGGAGCACTTTCCGTCCTTGGCACACCGGTTTGGAACTCTGAACATACAATGCGAACAAATATTATTGAGTTGACTAAAGCATATAGAGTAGTTCAAGCATAGCACTTTATTTAGTCAAGCATTTGTGGGTAAGATGTTTGTGTGCACTGTCTGAGAACTATGACACAGGTACAATTAGATATGCAGATCCATATATGTGATATACAAATAAATTTTCTTGGCTAATATCACTTGTAAGTGGTCAGTTATACTGACATGGAGATAAAAGAAAATGCACCATAGTAATTGTTTTGATTAAAGTAGTGGTATGATTGAGATCTAAAATGTAGTCCAAAGTCTTGTGTGTTTGCAGATGGAATCTGGCAGGAGAGGAGAGTTATTGGGAGCAGGGCCTGAAGGGCACATTCTCCCTTGCTCTATGCCCTTACTGTTACCTGCCCACCATGAATGAGCAGATGTTCATTCGTGCCTCAGTCAGGCCTGTCTGCCATGCCATTTCTGCCTTCCAGCCATGAAGAATGGGCTAAATCCTCTGAAGCCATGAGACAAAATAAATGTTTCCTTTGACTTGCAGGTGGTGAATACTGTGTGCCACTGATGGAAAAGCTGCCTAGTAAGTGCATCCTCAGTGACAGTGGACTCATTGCTGTGACTGGACCTGACCATGTGGTTTAGAAGCTTTTGGAACTTGTTTGTTGGTGGAGTTTGGAAAATTTTGGAGAAACAATCTAGAGAAATGCTCAATGGCTATAAGCAGAATTTGCTGGGTTATTCTGCTCAGAACTCAGAAGACTAGAGTGCTAATAGAAATATGGACAGAAAGGCCAGGCCTATAAGGTTTCATAAAGGAATAAAGAGTTTGCTGAAAACTGAGCTAGATGCCTTGTGTGCTTCATTCTCTACATTTTGCCATGTGGTAAGATTATCGAAGGATAAATTTAAAAAGAATGAGCTAATTCTCTGGGAAAGAAAATTTCAAGGCAGTGCAATGTTTAGTCTGTGGCTTGCCTACCTCTGGCTCATTTTAGTCTAATTTATAATTGAAATGAGTAATAAATAGTTCAGTGAAAAGTTCTAAAATGTTTTTTGTTTCACCTGAAAGGAAGCACATGTAAAGGGGAGGCCATGGCATTTGTATTTTCTGGAAACATTAGCATTAAAAAGAAGCATCAGAAAAATGGAAAGGACAGCTTGAAGGTCTCTCAGAAACTGACCAGCTCCTACGCTTCCAGAGTTAAATGTGTAAGAGAATAAATTCATTGAAAGAATTTTTCTTTGAGAAGAGAGCTACAGGACACCCTGCTCATTTAAAGGCCATGACAAGAATATTCCCTGAAGTTTATCCTTCAAGGCACATGATCCTTGTGCAGCCCTGACCCCAGAAGGGTGCTGCTCAAGAAAGCAGTAGACCTGGATGTCCTCCAGGTGGTGGTCAGTTTTCAGACATGCAAAACAGAAGAGTGGTGTTTTCACAAAAACTTCCACAAAGATTTTAGAAAGAAGGCCTGGCAAGCCAGAAAAAATGTGTGGCAGGACCACAGCCCCAGACAGGAGCCCGTGAATTTGTGGTGCTAAATCTCGGAGGTGAAGGCACAGGTTGCTGTAAAGACCACAGGAAGTTGGAGACTGAAGGAATATGGGAGGGTAAGGAAAGCAGAAGGGACAGAGCAGATCTTGTGCAAGAGAATGGCCAAACAGGCTGCAGCAAACAAGACCATAAGGTTGTGGCTCCTCAGCACTGACCACAACTGACCACAGTCTGCCCCTCATTCAGGACATAGGGATTGCTAAGTGTTTTTTTTCAATTTTATTCTTTATTTTTTGATTTTAAAGAAAATTAAAAAAAAAACAACAACAACAAAGACAAAGACAAAAAAACCCCACAAAAACAATAAAATGATACATGACCTCAACTACATATTGTTATCTTCCATAAAGTTGCTCAGATTGCCAGATGTAAGAATGCAAGATTGATCAAACCATTAAACAGAATAAAAAGTAATAAAAAATTACAAATGATATAGAGCTTCACTCAACAAGATGGTAGGAATCCAACAATAGTTGTTATATTGCATAAGGTTGTCTTCAAATTAGTTGTTCAGATTACCAGATGCAAGCATGCAAAATTGGTCAAGAAAAAAATTTAAGCATTAACTGTTCCTTTCAATAAACCATTAGACATCGCAGTACAATTATCTCAGCTATCTATCTACCCATTTTTCTATCTATCCTCTCTCTGTGTGTGTATATATATATATATATATATATATATATATATATATATATACTCCCTTCTTTATTTCTTTTCTTCTTTCCCTCATTACTGCTGTTCCTTCCTTTGAGCAATTTCTTTCTGTTTCATCATATCTACTGTACATTTTGGGTTTTATTTACTCTTTCAGATTCTTACACTAGGGAGAAAATATGATGTTTACACATGTTGGTCTGATTTATTTCATGGATGAGTATGGTCGCTAGTTGCATCCATTTACCTATAAAAGCCTCAAGTTTATCTTCTTTATAGCTGAGTAAAACTCCATTGCATAAAAATACCACATCTTTTTTATCCATTCCTCAATTGAAGGGCATTTGAGTTGCTTCCAAGATTTAGCTATGACAAATTGTGCTGCTGTAAATGTGGGTTCCCATGTATCGCTGAGGTATGATGTTTTCAGGTTTTCTGAAAAAATATCCAGAAAGGGTATAGCTGAGTTAAGTGGGACTTCTAATCCTAGCTTTGTGAGGAATCTCCAAACTGATTTCCACAGTGGTTTGACCAATCCACATTCCCATCAGCAGTGGAGGATTCCTTTTTCACCCACAGCCCCTCTAGCATTTGTTATTGGTTTATTTCTTGATGATAGCCATTCTTTTTGGGGTGTGATGAAATCTCAATGTCGTTTTAATTTGCATTTCTCAAATGACTAATGATGTTGAACATTTTTTCATGTATTTTATTTGACATTTGTATTTCTTCATCTGAGAAGTGTGCAGTCATCTCAGATGCCCACTTTTGGAAGGGTGTTTGAATTTTGCAGGCCTGATTTTTTAAAAATTCTTTGCATGTTCTGAATAGAAATCCTTTGTCTGAGAGACAGTTACCTAAAATTTTTCCCAATTCATGGGTTTTCTTTTACTCTGTTGGTGATTTCTTTTGCTGTGCAAAAACTTTTCAATAAGATGAAATCCCAGTGGTTGATTCTTTGAAGTATTTCCTGTGCAGTTTGCTTTTTGTTCATGAACTCTGAGTCTACTTCTATGTCTTCAAGATTTCTACCTACTTTCTTCTCCAGTAGATTTAGCTTTTCAGTTTTAATATTTAAATCTTTGATCCATTTTGACTTTAGTGTAGTGCATGGTGATAGACATGGTTCTAATTTTAGTCTTCAGCATGTGGAAAGCCAATTTTTCTAGCACCTTTCATTAAAGAGGCTATTATTCTTCCAGAAAATGTTTGGCTACTTTGTCAAAGATAAGTTGGGTCAGTGTGGTGGTAACTGCGTCTGCATCTTCTAGTCTGTTCCACTGATCCTCAGGTCTGTTTTTATGCCAGTACCATGGTGGTTTTATTGCAGCAGATTTGTAGTATAATTTCACTTCAGGGATTGTGATGCCTCCTGTCTTTCTTTGTTGCCCAGGATTGCTTTGCTATTCTAGGCCTCTTCTGGTTCCAGATGAATCTTAGGAATGTTTTCTCTAGATCTCTGAGGTATACTAATGGTATTTTAACTGGGATTGCACTGAATCTGTACAATGACTTTGGGAGTATGCCATTGTCACAGTGTTGGTTCTTCCTATCCATGAACAAGGAGTATCTTTCCATTTTCTGATATCTTCTTCAATCTCTTTTTTAAGTATACTATAATTTTCAGTATATAGATCTCTTACTTCCTTCTTTAGATTGATTCCTGAGTATTTAATTTTTCAGATGCTATTGTGAAAGGTGTGATTTCCCTAATTTCTCTCTTAGTGTGTTTGTAGTTTGTGCACAGGCATGCTATTGATTTTTGGGTGTTGACTTTCTACCCATGTACGCTACTGAATTAGGTTATTAAATCTATAAGCCTTTTGATGGAGTTTTTGGGGTCTACTATATAGAGTATCATGTCATCTGCAAATAATGATAACTTCACTTCTTTCTTTCCTATCATTATTCCTCTTCTTTCTCTTGTCTAATTGCTCTGGCTAACATTTCCAAAACTATAAGAGTGGTGACAGTGGACATCCTTGTCTTGTTCCTAATTTTATATTACATATTGATATCTTCAAAGTGGTTTCTCATGAAAACAAATACAGACATGCACGATTGATCAAATAATTAATCATTAACTGTTCCTTTCAGTAAAGCAATAGAAGTCAGTAGTACAACTATGTTAGCTATCCTCTCTCTATATATATACATAATTTCCCCTTCTTTCTTTTCCCTCATCCCAGTAGCTCCTTACTTTTGAGAAGTTTCCTTTCATTTCACAATGTCTATCATACCCCCTCATTTTTATTCACTCTTTCAGGTTTTTACACTAGTGAGACAATATGTTGCTTACCCATGCAGGTCTGATTTATTTCATTTATGAGTATGGTCTGTAGTTGTGACCATTTACCTGTAAAAGCCTTGAGTTTATCTTTCTTTATAGCTGAGTAACAGTCCATTATATAAAAATACCACTTTTTTATCCATTCCTCAGTGGATGAACATTTGGGTTGTTTTTCACAATTTAGCAATTACAAATTCACTGCTATAAAAATGGGTGCACATATATCACTTTGATGTGATATTTTCAGATCTTCTGGGAAAATACCTAGAAGGGGAATAGCTGGGTTGAATGGGACCCCTGACCTGGTTTGCTGAGGAGTCTCCAAACTGATTTCCACAGTGGTTTCACCAGTCTGCATTCCCACCAGCAGTGGAGAAGAGTTCATGTTTTGTTCCTGATTTTAAAGCAAAAGCTTTCACATTTTGTCCACTTAATATGATGTTGAAGGTTCGTTTGTCATAGATGACTTTCATCAGAGTGAGGTAAAGACCATCTATTCCTATTTTCTGTAGGGTTGTAATCATGAGTGAGTGCTGGACTTTATCAAAAGCCTTTTCTGTATCTATTGAGATGATCATGTGATTTTTGTGTTTGGCTCTATTGATATGGTGTACTGCATTAATTGACGTGTATATTGAAATATCCCTGCATTCCTGGGATGAATCCCACTTGGTCATAGTATAAATTTCTTGATGATTAGCTGCATTCTGTTTGCTAGTATACTATTGAGAATTTTTGCACCTATGTTTATTAGGGAAATTGGTCTATTGTTACCTTTTTTGTTTGTGTCTTTCTCTGGTTTTGGCATCAGGATAATACTTGCCTCCAGGAATGAATTAAGGAGAATTCCTTCCCTTTCAATTTCATTAAAGAGTTAGTAAAGAATTGGCATTAAATCTTCTCTAAATTTCTTGTAAAATTCACCTGTGAATCTATCAGGACCTGTGCTTTTCGTCATAGGCAAGTTTTTTATTATATTGTCAATTTTGCTTGCTGATATTGAGTTAGGGTTTTTACATCTTCTTAGCTTTGGTAATTCATATGTATCTAGAAACTTTCCACTTCCTCTGTGTTTTCTATCTTGTGAGAGTAAAAATTTTCAAAGTAGGTATTAATCATCTTAATTTATTCAGGATCTGTAGTGATTTCATCCCTTTCATTTCTTACTGAATGCATTTCAGTTTTTTCTTTGCTTTATTTGATAAGATTTGCTAGGGGTTTATCTATTTTATTTATTCTTTCAAAGAAACAACTCTTCAATTCATTAATTCTTTATATTGTTTTTTAGCCTCCATTGCGTTAATTTCTGTTGTGATATTTATAATTTCCTGCCTTCTTTTGACTTGGAGCTTGAGTTGGTCTTCTTTTTCTAGAAACTTAAAGTTCAGCATAAGATTGTTTATTTGTGCTTGTTCTGTTTTCCTGATGTTGGAATTCACCACTATAAATTTCCCTCTGAGAATTGCTTTCATTACATCCCACAGGTTCATGTAATTTTTATCTATGTTGTCATTTGATTGTACTTAGTATTTAATTTCTTGTTTGATTTCATCTGTGACCCATTGGTTGTTCAGGAGGGTGTTATTTAATTTCCACATTTTTATGGAGTTTTTGTGATTTCTTTTGTCATTCATATCCAATTTCATTGCACTATGGTCTGATAGTATGCAAGAGATAATTTCAATTCCTTTGCATTTACTTAAGCATTTTCTATGTGCTAGTATATATTCTATTTTAAAGAATGTCCCATGTGCCCCTGAGAAGAATCTGAATTCTGATGCTGTTGGGTGGAACACTCTGTAAAGGCCTACTAAGTCCATTTGTTCACAAGTTTGGTTACATTCTGTTATTTCTTGGTTGATTTTCTGTCTAGTTGATCTCTTTGTGACAGTATTGTGTTAAATCCCCTGTTATGATTGTGTTGCTGCTTATTTCATTTTTCATGACTGTTAAAATTTGTCTTATATAGTTGGGTGCTCCTGTGTTTATAGGTGTTTATGCTTATTATCTCTTCCTCTGGAATTTTTCCCCTCACAAGTATGTAGTGACCTTCTTTATGTCTTTTGTTCATTCTTGGTTTAAAGTTCACATTGTCTGCAAACAGAATAAGTGCCCCTGCTTTTTTCTGGGTTCCTGTCGCATGGACTACTGTTTGCCATCCTTTGATATACAGTATATGAATTTCCTTTTGAGTTAAATGTGTTTCTTGCATACAGCATATTGTTGGAGTTTGTTTCTTGATCCTCTCTGCCAGTCTGCTTCTTTTGATTGGTGAATTGAGACCATTTATATTGATGGTCATAAGTGATATATATTGACTTATCTTTGTCGTGTTATTTTCCTGCTATTGGTTCCTCTTGTTTCCCTCTGTTTAACTGCTTGCTTTGCTTAGTAATTACTTCCTGTTGTTGTCCTTGAAGTTGTTGTCTTATTTATCTCTTTCTAGAATATGTTTAGTACTTTTTTAAAGATTGATTTGGCACTCATGACTTTCTAGAATTGTTCTTTATCATGAAAATATTTTATTTCTCCATTAAATTGAAAAGATAGTTTTGCATGGTACATCAGTCCAGGTTGGAAGCTGTTTTATTTTAGTACCTGAAATACTTCATTCCAAGCTCTTCTTGACTTCATGGTTTGTGTTCAGATATCTGCCATGATTCTGATGGACTTTACTTTATAGGTGACCTGTTTCTTTTCTCTAACAGCTTTTAATATTCTATTCTTTTGTTGAATTTCTGGGATCTTGATCACTATATGTCTGAGTGTAGATATACTTTGGTTATGCCTATTTGGAATTTTATGTGCCTCACTTAATTTATTTCCATTTGTTTCTCTGTGTTTGGGAAACTTTCTTCTATTATTTCTGCAAATAGTCTTTTCATGTCATTTGCATTGCCTCCTGCTCCTTCATTGATACCTATTAATCCTTAATTTTTTCTCCTCACTTTATCTTGCAGCTGTTGAATTGTTATTTCCTGGTTCCTTGTTATTATTAAGAGATCCTTCTTTTCACGGTCATTAGCAGCGTGCTGTCTTTAAAGTCTGAAAGTCTATCTTCGGTTTTGTTCAAGAGGTGTTGTTAGATTTTGGTAGAATTTTAAATTTCCTGGAAATCTGTTTGAATCTTTTTCATGCATTCTAGTTCTTTTCTATATTGTTCATTCAAGGTTTCCATGAGTTGTGTATGTTCTTCTGTTTTCTTATCTATATCTTTAGATGTATTAGCACAATTCTTTCATTATTGTTGGCATTTCTTTTTTTACCTGAGAGGTTATTTCTGATCTGATGTCTTCTGTAGCCTGATGGAGGTTTTTCTTTACTTCAGTTGCTAGCATTTCTGAAATTTTAGGTGTAAGGCTTCCAAGTTTTTCTTTGTCAATGTCTCTTGGACTTGTTCTGCATGAGGTGGAAGTCTGAAATTGCATTTTGCTCCTTCATTTTGTCATTTTTGAAGATCTGGAGGTTCCCTGGAGCTCAGTCTCACTCCTAGGATTATGTTGGAGTGGCATGGCAAGGACCTGAAAGTCCCTGGTACCCTGTGTGGTTCCTGTGATGGTGTGTGGGAGCGAGGTGCAGTGACTGATGCTCCCAAAATTCTCTGGGCCTCAACTTGGCTCCCATGTGGGGTTCCCAAAGCTGTCTGCATTTCAGCCCCACTTCTGCATGCATGGAGAGTGGGCTGGCTGTCGTCACTGAGGCTGTAGACAGTTCCCAGGATCCAGCATAGATCCCACACCAGTGCAAAAGTGATAAGCACACAGTCACTGAGGCCACTGAAGCTATCTGAAGTTCAGCTGGGCTCCTATGAGGGTGCAGAGGAGTGCAAGGAGTGGCTACTGAGGTCCCTGAAGTTGTACAGTGTTCAACTGGTTTGCCTGCTGGTGGAGGAGTGGTAAGGGCAGCTCTACTGGGTTTCCTGAAGCTGTTTGAGGTAAAGTCTGGCTTTCACAAGGGTTCAGAGGGGGCAGGTCCTGTTCGCAAGGCTTCAGAGGTTGCCCTGGACCCAGCTAGGTTCCCATGCTGGTGGGGGAGGGGTGAGGGTGCAGTCACGGAGGTTCCTGAAACTGTGTGAGGTTCAGCTCGGCTCCCTCGAGGGTGTGAGTTGGGCAGGGATTGGCCCTCAAGGTTCCTGACATTGTCTGGGGCTCCACCTGGCCTAAAATAATTTTAGAGGGTGAATCTCTACTTTAGAATCACACTGGTCTATCAGATTACTGTCTATCAAGTTGGATTGCCCTAATAAATTTGTTATTCTTGGTTGAAAATATGATATGTTGGTTTTTCTTCAATGTTCAATATTTTTAAAATTTTTATCAGATATTCTTAGGGGGAGAAGATAAACAATTCTAAAAGAAAACTTAATAATATTACATAAGATTTTGTTTTCATAGTTCCAAAAGCAAAAGGAATGAGATCTGCAATTATTAGAAAGAAAACATTTGTGTCTATGGAAAGTCTATGTACTCAAATGGAAAAGTAAAAAAATTATCTTTTTTTTCTTTTATCAGAATAATAGTCAGGACATTGCTAGTAGCCAGAAAATACATGCCAGATGATCATTCTTCCACATTGATGAGGACTGCTGAGTTGGAGTGACTGAATTTGCATTATTTTTGCCTAAGATCAACTGGCTGCCACATCTATGATTATGGTGAGAGAAGATCCAAGTGTCCATTTCTTATGCCACACACGTGGAATTAACTTAATAATAAAGTATGTCTTTAAATATATTGAACCAAATTTTAATATCTATTCCTAAAAATCCCAGTTTAATATTTGAGTGCTATATTTTAATTCTGTTCTGTGCATACTTTGCGTACTATCATTATTTTGTATTTTTACCTTCAGCAGTGTTTCCTTTGAGTGTGTTTCCTTTGTTTTTTTACCTTTATATTCATATTTTAAAGACCAGAGCAGATCTACCTGTTATTTTTATCAATTGTTAAATTTTTCGGACAGGGTTTTTATGTTTAAAACTTAAACTGGTTGAAGTGCGAGCTATGGTGATCTTGCTATATTGTTCTCTTAACAGCTTCAAAACTTTTGTACCTTCTCTGGACCCCTTGGAATTGTGCCTCTCAACACACTGCCACAGCACACTCTGACATGGTTCTGGAATTTCTCTTTCGTATCTTTAGTCCTGCTGTCTTTCCTGTCTAAGTGTCCCGAGTCAACCCAAATAGTTTACCTTTCAAGATCATTTTCACTTTAGGGAAGAAGCAAAATTCTCACGGGGCCAGATCTGGTGGCAAATAAGATGGATGATGATACACTGTAGTACTTTTATGAGCTCTCCTTTCTGTTAGATGGCAAGTGGCACAGTGGTCACTGTAGTTTGTTTATTCCATCACATAGAGACAATCATAGAAAATAACCTCAGGAACTCTTCTGCAAAGTAGCAATAATGATGGGATAAGTGTGCTTCAAGCCATGGGACTATTTTGAGGTAAATTAATGGCAATGTGTGTACTACTGTAATAGTTTCAAACTTCATTTCTCCCCATATAGTTTGATTATACCATTTACTTGTTATTGTTCCTTATAAGAAGACAGATTTTAACTTCCCTCTTATTTGAAATTCTATAGGAGTTGACCCACGCTATCAGACCTGATACAGTGATGAAGAAACATAGAAGTGCTACCTTGGTGAACATAGGCATTTTTTCCAGTTACACTGAAATAAATGCAGTTATAAATGTTACCCATTTAAAAATCTTTTCCTTTGTCATATTCCACTATCCAGTGTCCTCAGTCTGTGACAATATTTATAGATTATACTAAATAAGAAATGGTGCAGTCTTATTCCATATTCAGTACATGGATATGCAGAAAAAAGAATGTGAAGTAGAATGAAGAAGAATTTAAAGAGAATGGGAAGAAAATCACTAATTTACTTAATGAAAACTGGCTCCTTCTGTATATTTCTGGAATGTTTATAGTTGTTTCTCAAATAGGTTTTATATATTATCTTAAATATGTGCCCAGTGGTTTTTTTTGTTAGTATAATAAACAGCTTATTTCATAGTAGTTTCTACTGATTACTTATATATCCAAAGTTCTGCTCATGTTTTAAATTAAATATACATATGCATATATAAATATTATATTATATTTTGTTATAGTTTTCCACATGTAAATTAATATGAATTACAACTAAAAAGAAACTATACCTTCTTTACAACTTTTACATTACTGGATACAGTTTTGTCTAATTATATTATCTAAATGCTTGTTTCCAATGTTAATGAGGACATTCTTCTTTATGTTGTATTTTTATTTTTATTTTTATTTTTTTAAATTTTTTTTGGTTTTTCTCTGGTACCGGGAACTGAACTCACGACCTTGCGCTTGCCAGGCAGGTGCTTTTGCCGCTGAGCTAAATCCCCAGCCCTGTATTTTTAAATGTAATAGAAAAATAACAATAAAACTATCTTCTAAATTAAGCTCCTGCTTTATTACAAAATAAAAGGAATATTGTCCATGATAAAATATGTACTAATTTCACTTTTACTTAATGTTTTCCTTTTTTATCAGAATTGAGTCAGATTTCAATTCATTTTTTCCAATGAAAATGATTTCATAAATTTCTCATCTCTATTAACATGTAAATTAGATAATGTGTTTCTTTTTTAAAAATTTATTTCAAAAATGAAAGAAAGGAAATATATTAACAAACAGACATCCATGTACAAAATAGCATAAGAACAACATAAGCCATACTGAATTACAGACAAAGTGGTAGGAAATTAACGATGGCTATTGTATTATATATTGGTATCTTCAAAGTGGTTTCTCAAGAAAACAAATATAGACCTACAAGATATATAATGTGTTTCTTATTAATGAATACCAATTAGTTATTTTAATTTTATAATATTTTAGAATGTATTGATAACATTTTTCTCAGTTTCTTGTTTTGTTTTTTGTATAGGAAAATAAAGGTGACAGAAATGTATCAACACCAACTGGGAAAATGGAAAGGATATTCATTGATAATCAAATAAATTTGTACTGTTGCATCCAAAATTCAAAGGGAAAAATGAAATTGATACTTTAAAAAATCAATTATGGTTGAACATATAGCACTGACACAGCCTATGTGCAAATCCTCGCTATGTCATTAAGTCTTTGAGGAATACTGGGCAATTCACAGGAGCTTTTCATGCCTTAGACACTTTCATTAAATGTGGAAGTAACAGTACTGTGTACCTCAAATGGTTGTGGAAACAATTCAATTTATTAATGGACTTACAGAATTCATTTATAAACACCACATGTAACATTGCAAATGTTCCAAAATGTCAAAGAAAACCTAAAATGTAATGAAATCATAATTCACATTGAAAAAAGCAAAATTTATCACGGAAGTGTTATTCATGAAGCTGTTGAAGTGGAGGGTTCCGTGAGGGTATTCTTTTGTGTTGGCAACAAGCTGTCACAATTCACTTTCCGTTTGACCTAGTACAACCTACGCAACTTCAAAGCACATGCCTTAAGAAAGTCTTCTGATATTGCCCACAACATCTTTAGGCAGGGCAATGTCCAGCTCCATGGAGGTTCTTCACATGAGTTTTTCAGAACCGCATCAGTGACCAGAAGAAAGCTATCTCAGATAATCTATTGGCGTAGTGTTTATTAGTCAGGGTTCTCCAGAAAAACAGCAGCGACAGCATATCAGTTTACTTGTGTGTGTGTATGTGTAAAGAGACAGGAACAGAGAGAGGTTGATAACTGTTTTGGAGACATGAGAACTTCAAAGTCTGCAGGAAAGGACAGCAGGTAGAAGGAAAAGGTTGCAATTTGAGCTTAAAAGCAAAATTCTTTCTTACCTAAGTGAGATTAGTCTTTGTTCTTTAAAGGTCTTCAACTAAATATATGAGGTCAATTCACATTTAGAAAGTAACTTGATAAGCTATTAATCTCTTTAAAAAACACCTTGACAGAAATATCTAGAACAGTACCTGAAAATTTATCTGGGGTGACACATAAAATTAACATTCATGTGGAGACACCAAGAGGACTTTAAACCTCATGAGTTACATCTGCAAGATCAGAAATGAGGTCTCTTGCTGAAATATTTCCTGGAAGATTTCTTTTATGTAGTCAATCTATAAATGATCCTAACAATACAAATATGAGGAAAAAATCCATAAAATGTTCAAACATTTTATGCATATCAAACCTGCAGTAATTATTATTTTTCTACATAAAATCTGTACTCCATGAAATGACAAAGAATGTTTGTAGTCAAGTATGTTATTGCTAAACTTTCTTCTTTATTAGCATATGTTTGTAGTACATAAGGATCAGCTTCCTTGTGTGGAGTTGTTATGTGTATATAACACTTGTCTCTGTGGAGAATACTTTCTACTATAGTCTGTATAAAATTTGTTATCACATTTATTTATCCATTACAACAAAGAATGGTGATGCTTTATTACATTAATTAAGTATGATTTGATAAATATGTCATATTTAGGACACTAAGAAAAACACAACCTAAAATAATTTAGTTAGGAAAAAGAAATGTAATGGTAATTTTTAATGTCAAGGATATGACTTTAAAACATTTATTTAGCAAAGGTAAATTTTTATCTTTTCTAATAAATGACAAATATCAACAAATTATCCGTTGTCATCAGTTCAGGGTTCAGCATTTGATGGTTGATCTTTAGGGTCAACTTGACTGGATTCAGAAACCTCAGGACATTTGAAAAACACACTTCTGGATGTATCTGTGAGGGGGTTTCCAGAGACCATTGGCACTGGGACCACGAGCTCAGGGAGACACCTGCCACTGAATGTGGCTGGCCTCATGCAGGAGGCTGTGGGCCCAGGTGGAGCAAAGGGAACAGGAAGACGACCAGTGCGGGTTCTGTCCCTCTTGTCTTAGTGGTCCCTAGGGGAGCAGATTTACTTTGCCATTCCCTTCAGCAGGGATCTCTCTGCCTCGCCTCTGACCTGCAGTGGCAGAGTGTGCTGAACATGAGATAAAATCTCTGAAACTATGAGACAAAACTATGAGCCTCCCTGACTTTAAGATTTCATTCTCAGGTATTTTGTCACATCATTGGAAAACTAAGATGAGAAGTCAGTCAGCCTATAATAAAATATTTACTGTAATTAAATTGTTTAGTAATTAATTATGATTGGATGCTATATTAATTTTAGAAACATCAAAGTCATATATTTCTTAGCAATAGTCCCAAGATTACAGCACTGTCACTTATTGTTTCGGATACATCCCCGTAGGTAGCAAAGGCAACATTCAATGCACAGTTGTAAGAGTGCCCTTGGGAACATACACCTTTAACTGGAGGTTAGTCAGCTTCATAATGAATTGGGTGTCCTTACTAAGTGTAAACAAATCTGTTTAATCTTTTCTTTATCTGACGTCATATTGTTTATCCTGCCACTTTAAACCAGCTGGGATTTATTTAAGCTCAATTTCCTCTTGTTGGTAAATGAGTGTCACTAAAGTTTCTGTCAGAAATTGCAGGTAAGTTATTTGGAACCTACATAATAATCCAGTATATGAAGTAAATTTGAGCTTTCATATTTTCTTTTAAAATAACCATCACTGTGATTGTGTGGCTTAACTTTAAATTTGCGTCATTGTTTCACCTTGAAAAAGTTTTCAGTGCTGTAACAATCAGAAAAGAGTTTTAACCAGAATTTTACATTTTAAGACAATTTTATACAAATTCCAGGGATGAGCTTTATATAGCCGTGAATGGAGAGTTTTGTTTAGTCTAATACATGGTAAAGACAAGGATGAGTTTCACAACAGACTCCTGGGGTCTTAATGTAGCACGTGTATAGGAGAATGTAAGATGTCACCCTTTGATGATGTTTTATTTTACTAGTACTCTGTAATGAATTTTAAAATATTCAGACAATTTCAAATTTATACTTTTTAAACAGAGATCACATAAATATTGTATAAAGTCAAATTCATTTATTTAAAAAGAGAAGCAAAGAAAAGCTTCTCTATAGAAACTTCTCTGGTAAAGCAATATCCAAGTTTATTAATGTAACTGTTAAGGAAATATCCAATTTTAGTACCACAAATTCCTTATTCCTTCCCTTGTGTGTAAGTGGGAAAATTACCTATTTTATTATGATTGATGATGATACAATATTTGAATATTCTAGCTTCTTTGTAAATATGTTAATAGTCTCTGAAGTCATTACATTTTACAAGTATATTAATCATATTTTTAACTGTAGTTATGCTCATAAATTTTCTGCAAACAGGAAATAGCTTCTCAACTTATTTTACAGTCAGAATAATGAAAAGCAAATGTTCCAACCCTTACTTGTGGTATACATGTTCCATCCTCTTTAGCTGTTTCTTGTCAATATTACTTTTATATTAATTAAAAACACAAGACAAACTAAAATTTAATCTTCATAGTTTGAGAATTTTCTTAATTCCAGACATATATTGTGAACATTTAATCCCACATTAAGCTTTTCCTGTGGAAAAATACTCATTTCTATTGTGAACACTGCTGAGAATAAACGTCAAGGTAATTCACATTTCAAAATAAGTATCAAAATCACATCATGCATGAAGATATTGCTATTGTCTGTCCTTCAGTTACCGCCCCCCATGGAAGCAAGTCCTATGCTATATAACACTCAAAACATTTTACCTCTGTCATGTCAGGTAAAGACACGTGTCATTTTCTTTAGGCAGGACAAGGAGAAAGGAGTCCATGAGATTTTAAACAATTTTCATTCTAAGCAAGTTACTTGTTTGTAAATGAAAACAATTTTATTTATGTAAATATATGGTCATGTTGTATATTATAGTTGTTATTACATTATAATTTCTGGTCTGTATTATGCATTCAAATGTATGTTGTACATTTTGTTTCATTACTTTGTACTCTTGATAACTTTATGATTTTCTTAAATTTTTAAATTTATAGATAAAAAAGTATTATGGGTGTACAGAAGCATAATAAGCTATGATTATATGACTGCCTTGATTCTGAAACCTAATGCTGATGTCTTGTAGTCCTGTGTGTAGTACTGTCTTCCATTCACAAAATCTCTCATCAATGTGAGAAAGATCTGTGGGATTCAACTTCCATCTAGTAGGGAGTGCTGTGCTTATTAAGGAAACACTGTAACTGAAAAAAGAACAGAAAAACATTTCTAGTTGTCCTAAACTGGATCTGATTCCATTATGGTAAATAAACTGGATAAAATGATAACCATGGATCACAACAATTTTCACTGTTTGCTGCCATCTCACTTGGGGCCTGACTGACATTAGTAGGTGTCTGTTCTGTAGACACCATCAAATTGTTTGAAGAGAGCCTTGAATTTAAATCTATCTAAAGAAATTTTATGGTTACATTGCTAAATTTTAAACCATACCTTTTAAAGTCAGCTGTTCCAATAAAATGGTGAGAAGTGATAATTTTAAGCAATAGATATCAGACTTTTTAATGTCAATAAAATTATTAACAGAGAAATCATATCTCTGCTTATTGACAAGAATACACATGTCAGTTTTCATAAAGAACATGTGGATTGCTTGAATTTGCCCCAATGTATTCAAATTTATTCAATGTGTTATAAAATTTATTATGATATTATAATTCAGGCTGCTATAATTCAGGTAGATCACTTAGAATTAGCAAGGAGACATGGCTTATTCTGGTAAGGGATTCTATCTTTCTGGTTAATGCACAGGCTCTAGGAGACAAAGATCTTAAAAGTTATACAACAAAGATTAATTATTTCCTTATTTTATGAACTTGGCAAGTGATATGATGTCTCTGAATGGTGGTTCTTTCTCTGATACAGGAATAACTATAGCATCTAATTAATTGGATCTCATCAAAAAGAGAGATTAGTGTGATTAACATATGTAAAACATTTGTAACAATGTCAAATACAAAGGTCTTAATAAATGCTAGCACTCTCAGAAGATAAGAGTCTGGAAGTAACATTATTCATCCAGGCTACCTAACTCCTCAATACTATTTTTTAATAAAACACTTGAATCAGCCATTCTCTTCAAACAGACCATATTCAAGAGAAACATCCATATTTCTTGCACATATTACTTGTCTATCATTTATTCATGTAATAATGATATTTTTATCAATGATTAATCCACATAATTTCTTTAATTGTTGTTAAATTAGTAACACATACTGTACTTACTGTATTTTTATAAATATCCTTTGCAATAGTCCTTCTTATCTGTTATTGCTATTAAAATACTGCTTAAGTATTGGAATTATATGAACCTACTAAATAACAAAATACCTTACAGCATTAGAAACTCTACTTGTCTGAGTGAATTCTGACCCAGTTTGAGGTCCCAGTGCACAGCAATAAGTGTAAAGTTGAGATGTAAAAAAGATTAATAAATGTAATGGTAAAATGTTTGCAAGTCTTTGATACAATAGGGTAATGGATCAAGTTCAAGAGAAAATTTAAACAGTAGGAATTACAACACAAGTTACTGCAACAGCATGAAAAACATAAATCTTATACATGAATCCTTAAACCTGTAATTTGATTGCCATCAGCAATGGAGCTACCAAAGCTAACTTCATTTGGTAGAGAGGAGGCTCATTAGGTTATCAAGTGTTTGGCTCTATTAAGGAAACTTTTTGTCCTTTTTCTTTTGTCTTCTATGTCAAAAGGCAGAGGTACTCTTTTGCTTCACATCTCAAATCTTCTGCATGAGACTCATCATGGTAAGCAACATTCTGCTGTGGTCTCTTCAGATAAGCCTCCTCGGAACCACTCTTGCTGGGAACATTCTGATTTGGCCAATGGAGGGGAGTCACTGGCTCAATGTTAAGATCATTATAGATGAGCTCATTAAGAGAGAACATAACGTGACTGTCTTGGTTGCCTCGGGTGCACTGTTCATCACACCAACCTCTCACTCTTCTCTGACATTTGAAATATATAAAGTGTCCTTTGGCAAAGAAAGAATACAAGGGGTGATCAAGGATTTTGTTTTGACATGGCTGGAAAACAGGCCATCTCCTTCCACCATTTGGAGATTCTATCAGGAGATGGCTAAAGTTATCAAGGACTTCCACATGGTGTCTAGAGAGATGTGTGATGGCGTTCTTAAAAATGAAAAGCTGATGGAAAAGCTGAAGAAAGGCAAGTTTGAAGTCCTCTTGTCAGACCCAGTATTCCCTTGTGGTGATATAGTAGCTCTAAAGCTGGGAATACCATTCATCTATTCCTTGAGGTTTTCTCCAGCCTCGAATGTGGAAAAGCACTGTGGGAAGGTACCATACCCTCCTTCCTACGTTCCTGCTATTCTCTCGGAACTCACTGACCAGATGACTTTTGCTGACAGAGTAAGGAATTTCATCTCCTACCACCTACAGGACTACATGTTTGAAACTCTTTGGAAACCATGGGATTCCTACTACAGTAAAGAGTTGGGTGTGTATCAAGTTTTGTTTTATTATGTGAATATGAATCCTAGAGCTTTAAATCATTTCTCCTCCACTCCCTCGTTTTTACTTTAATTTTTATACATCTGTTTTCTCTTTCACTATAATTTGATAGCAAAATGATAAAAGACATTATATTGCGATAATATAGAGGAGGGTTTTCTAATTTCATAGACTGAAAGATACCAAGTTATTTTATGAATAACATATGTTGAGAAGTATCTTAGTTAAAAAATAAGATTGAACTTCATTTACATATTACTTTGAAGATAGAATTTGTGTAATCATTGCAGCGCTGGTTGAAGACATCTAAAAGAAACTGAACCTTCTACAAACCTATTATTATTATAATATATGTTCATATCTAGTATATATATATCTATATATACACACACACATATATACTATCTGAATAATAAAGTTCAAAGATAAAAACTAAGAAGTATTCAAGGCTCTATTACCCTTGCTTTGAAGGTAAGAATTTATGATAGAACACAACCATTGCTTAAAATATACTATGTTTATTTTGTTTCCAAGTTTTCAGCTATGCTGAAAAGCTAAGAATTTGATATTTTTCTGTTTCTATAAGAAACATATACTTTCATTTTTCAGTAATAAAATGACTTACATTCAACCAACAAACTTATCATTGTAAATAAGATTAGCATTGCAGGCAGTTAAAATAAAATCATAATGCATATTTATAGGTCATACTGTGTGTAGTCTCTCAGATGATACATATTAATATTTTATATTGACTTCATCATAAACCTCTGAAGCACAGGCCTAATACCAATGATAATAACATAAGGATTCTTTTTTTCTATAACTACTATTTCTAGGATTTTTTTGTGTTTTGAATCTTAAATTTCACATTATTAACATCAAAATTTGATTTTATAATTTTATTTCTTTTTGAAAATGTAATAAATCCAAGATTCAAAGAATATTTAAAGAAATAAAAGTTGTATATATACTACTGTGACTACACCATTGTTTAGTAACCAGGTGTAGTAAGTCCTAGAGATGTATACTAGCTAATGAGTGAAAATATTAAATGACATTTAAAATCATTTAAAGACGACAAAGTGCAATGTAAAAATAAGTGCCTCACATGAATGCTACACGGTGAAATATTAAAGTTTCTGTGCAATAATATCTGTTATACTCATTTTTATTCTACAAACTTGTCCTAAAATAATTGCAACCCTGAATTAGAGGAATTATGATAGATACACTGACCAGTTAGTGTGTGGATCCAAATGTGACACATCAAAGTGAATGAATATGATCCAAATTCATTGAGCCAACTATAACTAATAGGCCGTGTCATAACAAAAAAGACATCTGCTCCTTCTACATTAACCAGTGACCCACAAATTTGAAAATATAGTTATCTCCTGCATGTACATAAGAACTATAACATGTATTAGCCAGAGAAAATAAGCATAGATACAGTGACTATGTATATGACCTGGAACCTGTCCACTGACAATATACAGGGATGGGAGACATCACAGAGCTAAACCTAGATCTTATTAAGCAGGAAGAAAGGGATAAATAAATGGAAAGCTTTTATGCAGCAATGAGGCTGACATATTTGCAAAAACTACTTTATGTTTGCATGCATATAAAAAATTTACAGAGATATCTAAAAAAGTGCATTGTCCCAGTTATAAGAGCACAAGGAACTTGGAATTTTCCTGAATGTTAGTGGATGTTTATATTTTTATTCTTTAACTTCTATCTTTATCAATAACTTGCCCTCAACTGTAGAATTTCAACTCTCCAAATTATTATGGAATTTATTTATATCTGTGAAGCAATCCCTCATTTAATCTCCTGGGTGCAGGCTTAGAATCACGAGATCCATTTTATTTTGCTGCTATCTTTAAATTCCTCACAAAAAGCTCACTATACTCTCAGTCTTAAAATGTGAAACTAATCTTTTTAGAAAATTTGAAAGAATATAAAGAAGATTGATTGTCTTTGCAATAGAATTCTTTGTCTTTGCAAAGAATATAAAGAAGAAGATTGTCTTTGCATCTGATTTTTCATCTGATTTTGATATATGGTGTCATATTTCCAATCACATTACAGTCTTGCTGTTACTGAGAGTATTTGTTCTTTTTAACCACAAAATTCTTACTGATGACTAAGAATACATGTAAATATGATATCTGATTTACAAAGTTTAATGATAAAAAATAAAAGTACTCAACGCTTAATCACGTTTGTTTTGAATGTGTGAATTAAAGATAAACTGCTCAAAATGTTTTATGTTAATTTTATCTGATATTCAATGTACTGTAGTGTTTATAAGATGAAAAATTATAATCAGTCATTTATAGTGTCGAAAGGTCTTTGTTAATCATGCACGAAAGGATCTAATTATCTGTCTAAAAATCACATATGCTTTTGTAATTTCTTTTCTTTCTACATTACATTATGTATTCTTTGATAATAGATTTCCTGTTGGACATTCTCTTAGACAGTGAGAATATCACGAAGACTGATATTAAAACTCCAGGCCTCACAGTTTTCACAGTCAAGCAGAGAACTCAGACATGTGAAAGGGCATTTGCAGTGTGACTTTTCCAATTAACATGTGTACAAATCAAAGGTGTGTAGAGGAGGGAGGCATTGCACAGCAAGGAGAATGAGTGTTGTGATCTGAAAAGCTTCGGAGATGAAGCTTTGATTAATAGGGAAACTTGCACAGTAAATACAAATTTTTCTGTGAAGTCTGTGGAGGAAGGAAACCTTGCCCAGAATTGGAGACTTGAAATATGATAAGGTGTGAATTATATTCCTGATGATTTATTATTTTCTAAGTTGCAAAATGTGAAGTGGAAAGAAGTGAGGAAAAATGCTAGCGATGTCATGATTCGAAGAATAAATGTTCCACTATAATTAATATTTTAAAGCTTCTGTAATGTTCAGGTCTTTGGTTTTTATTGAGGTAATAAATGGGAAACATTTAAGGGAATGTAGGATAACTAGATTTCTGTGTTATGCACTACCCCAGGAATGATGCTCCTGTATTGCTCTGGGGACATGAATTAAGAGCATGTGCCTGGAAACGAGCTAACAGTGGAGAAAAATAATATACCCTGCGATTGCCTAGAAACAAAACAGGAAACCAAGTTCTTTATCCACACTGCAGCTCACTCGTTCCAGAAAGCAGAAAAGTAACTCAATCTCCTTCCACCCACCCTTCCTCCATTTCATCTCTAACAGCATTGTTGAAAGGACTCAATTAGTTAATGTTTGAAAGGACATTAGAACAACATGTGAGAAATGAAAACCAGCAGTAGCTGTTTACCAAGTTTTCTTCGTTAGAGCTGAAGGCTGATTGGTGAGCACTGTTAAAAGAGGTGAAGAAGAAATTGAAATGATGTGGATATTTCTAATTGCAGTAAATGGTACACGGCATAGTTAACCAGGCTAGAAAATAGGGCATACAAAATATTTGTGAGTGTGAATAATCCATTTATTATTATTATTATTATTATTATTATTATTATTATTTTGTACTGGGAATCAAACTCAGGACTTTGAGCTGGCTAGGCAGGTGCTTGTAACACTGAGATATATCCCCAGCCCCAGTCCATTTAATTTTGTAGATATTGTATATGTGGTAATTTTGTAAATACAGTAGTAGTTGGTTCCATGAAAAGACGTACTACAGGTAATAGCTTCGGTTAGAGATTTAAGTATCATTTACAGGAGAATGGTATGTACACAGTTTTGTTTGTTCTTACTAAAATGCTATATTTTTACTGAGGCCAGGAAATGAACACTTTTATTGAAAAGACCAGGTAAGAAGTAAAAGTTCTGACAGAATTCAGTAATTAATTTTTGTGTAACATATTATAGATACAGAATAATAAGTGAGAATGATATATGAATTGAATTTGGAAAATTTTTCTTCTAAAGTGTGACTTTAATTTGTAGTTGCTTAAATTCTCCAATTAAAGTCTTTGAAATGAATTCTGTATGACATAAATTTCAAATTATCACAAGTGAGTAAATGAAAAGATTAACTTTCTTTAAGATTACTTCTCTGTGGTAGAACGTAATAATAACTTCGGACTGAGTCCTTAATATCTGCTAATTATTAAGAATTGGATATTATAATGTCCAAATTCTTTATTTTGTTTGAAGTTATGGAGACTTGGCTAAAGCTCACATACATCCTAATAATGATGACACCTAACATTTATTGAATTGCTCCAGTTCATTCTGTACCATGATACAATTCACTCTGTACAATTCACTCTGGCAATGAATTTGTTATATTTCAGTACAAGAAAATCTCCTCAACACAGGAGAGAAAATTGAGGCTTCAAAATATCAATCATTTTAAAATAAAATCATCTAGGCAGGAGTTTTAAGAAGTGTTATTCAAACTAAAATCTTGCTTGTACCAAAGCCTCTGTGATCTTTAACTCTAGATCTTTCATTCTTTCTCTCCAATTTAAATTTTAGAAGAAAATTTATCAATTATGCAGCCTTTTTTGTTAAACTTTCTTGGATTTTTAAAAGTGCATTTAGATTTGAAACATCATACTGTTTCTTGCCTATTTTTAATGTACTGAAAGGAGCACAATCACCCCATGGTTTCAATAGTTAACTCAATATTCGTTCCCGAAAAGATGATTTCAATGTGACTTCTTGAGTGCATTGCCTGGGGTTATTCTTTTTCGCTTTATGAGAACTGTGTAAGGAGCTCCCCAGTGGAAATGTAAAAAATCTGCAATATTAAAAAATATTTATTGAAAATTGAGCAATGAAAATTTTATGATTTGTTTTCATATTATGCCAACAAAGTTATGCACATGTTTAAGAGAATACAATTTTATAACATAAAATATTTATAATCTGTAAGAATTATGTATTGTTACCAGTAGTTTTATCTGTTGATCACTGTGAAAACATGTAGGTCATTACTTGAATAATTTTATCTTTTGTGCTATTAAAGATTGA